GGAAAACAGGGGCGCTGTGGGGTCAAGGAAGTGCCAGCATGTGCTCGAGTCCAGCTCTGTGGGACTGAGGCAACGGAGGATCCGCAGCGGCAGGAAGAGGCTGTTTGGGACTTCTCCGTATCCTCCTGAAAGCACAGGCTCCCTAAAGAATTCAGCCGTCATCCACGCCCTCCCTGGGTGCCTTACGACCACAAAGCTGACTCCTGGTGCTGAAGAGAAGTGAGCACAGGTCAGCACCTGGATAAGAAATCGCCTAAACATTATGACACTGCCATAAAGCTATCACATCTTCCCCCGTTCTAAGGGCCCATTTATTTTTCCTGAAACTCATTTGTTCTCCCGAAAGCGTCCGTCTGTCTCCCTCCAACCCCTATTAAGATGGTATATAAGCCCTACGTTCTAACTGCCTCCCTGAATCACATCTTTCTGTGAACTGCTTCCTCCTATATGTGAATAAAAATCCGTCTTGTCTCTTACTAATGTCTCTTGTCACTTTAATTTACAGGCACCCCTTACAGAACCTAAGAGAGTATAGTAAATGTGTTTCTTCCCGACAGTGGAATTTGGAAAAGCAAGCAAGCTGATCCGTGGAAACTCAGTAGGGGCACCAAGCACATGCAGGTTAAGTGCAAGAGAAGAAATAAAAGGTTAGTAGCTGTGAAGGCCCACTCCTGTTTGCAGACTTTGGGGACGAGGTATACAGTCAAAAGAGGTATAGGGAGCAATTCTTAAGATTCGCACATTTCTTTGTCAAGAAGTCACATAAAATATATTACGTGCGCTTTTCCACACTGAATGTCAACCCAGGTGATTATATCTGTCACTGACGGAATGGTCTTTGTTTTACCAAGAACACATCATGGAATTAGAACTCACCAGCTAGGGGCGCCTGAGTGGCTCAGTCGGTTAAGCATCCGACTTCGGCTCAGGTCATGATCTCACTGTTCGTGGGTTCGAGCCCTGCGTCAGGCTCTGTGCTGACCATCAGCTCAGAGCCTGGAGCCTACTTCAGATTCTGTGTCTCCCTCTCTCTCTTACCCTCCCCTGCTCATGCTGTCTCTGTCTCTCACACTTTCTCTCTCTCTCAGAAATAAATAAAACATTAAAAAAAATTAAAAAAAAACTCACCAGCTAAAATGCATTTATCTTTGTTTTCTTACTGTTTAGGTGTATGACCACTTAACATGCAGAACTTTCTTGAAAACAAAACAAAAATGGAAAGGGGCGCCTGGATGGCTCAGTTGGTCTTAAGCACCTGACTCTGGCTCAGGTCATGATCTTGTGGTTTGTGGGTTCGAGCCTTGCATCCGGCTCTGTGCTGACAGCTCGGAGCCTGGAGCCTGCTTAGAATTCTGTCTCCCTCTCTCTGTGTCCCTCCCCTGCTCACACTCTGTCTCTGTCTCTCTCAAAAATAAAATAATCTATTTTTTTAAAAAGCCTTTATAAGGAATTAAAAAAAAAACAACCTTGAAACTCAGCTCTTAATATAAACAAGACAACTGAAATATGCAAAGTACTGACTGATCTGCTTCTTGGAACTGATCTCAGGATCTACTTGTAATAAACGTCAACCCAAAAATGACATGTGAATGATGCCATCGTTTTTATTTTGCGCCACAGATGTGCTTCTTTGTGGCCAGGAAGTTGAATGCAGAGCGTGCACGCCCAGGGAACCTGGGGGTGACTCCCAGCTTGTCCCTCACCCTGCTGCGTGGCGTGCAGCCCTCTCGCTTACGCCTGTAGATGCTCAAGCGCTGTGGATGCCGGGGCACAGATGACCTCGCCCCATAGCGTCTCTGAGAGCCAGTGGCGGACTCGCGCGTGCAGGCTGTTGCTCTGGAACCCAGCAGGCACCTGGTGAGCAGTCATTCGTGTTGAAGATGGGTTACAGGGACTTTCGGGGAAGGCACCATTTTTGCTAATTTTTAGCATGAAAGAATGACCCACACATAACTCACAAATAATCATCTGAGAACCTGTGTGATGTCAGCTCCGCTAGGCATTTTCTCCTAGTAAAATGGTAACTAATGTTGTAACATAATTTCCTCCTTTTATGCTGCTTGTTTTTCACTCCTTTCTATTCGTACTACTGTAACTAATTAATTTGATGACACTCACAGCATAATACATTCCCGCTGGCAACTGTGAATCTCTCTGGGGACTTAATAATCATACGAAATGCCCTTGAACTTGGCTGGCTCACTAGTCTTCTGCAACTGCACTGCATCAAAGAGAGAGCCGGACACGTTCTAAGAACCTTCTCCTATTTCAACAACCCTCTTTGCAAGTGCTTGCTGTATGAGAAGAAAAATCCAAGTACGACATTAAGGGTGTGCACAACCAGGAGCCTGATCAGATCTTGCTTTGGTTTCGCCACATGCGCAGCGCCTGATGAAAACCCCAGGAGGCCTGAACTCTATCTGCCTAAGAAACAGGACCAGAAAGGTTTCATTTCTGCAAGACAAATCCATGCATAAAGAAGCATGGATTCGTAACAAGGGGACATCCAGAACATTCTATGAACTAAATTACTGGGAAGATAGGCAACTGCTCGTTCTCCTCTGAGAAGTTTAAAACAAGTATTGTCCACGCGAAGGACACGGGGACGTGCAGAACATAGGGGAGCTCTGGGCCCGAGTGTTGGGTCTGCAGCTGCGTCTCCCCTTCGGCAAGTGGCCTCACGCAAAGGAGCACGCGCCAGCCATCGTGCGCTTTCTCACACACTCCTTCCGCACACGCCTGAAAACACGTATACCCCATGTTTCCCTGATACGGTGCTTGTGGACGAAGGGCAACTCCCCTGGGAAGGAACCAGCATCTTTCTCGGCACCGGCCTTGGCCATACAGGCAGCTCCTGGACGGCGCAGACGGTACCCACTCCTACGGCGTTCTCCAAGCAGGTGCCCACGGACCCCCAAGCGCTCAGTCTGTCCAGTGTGGACTTCTCTACCCTTGTCACTGAACAGCTCACTTGCAGCAAACAAAGAAAATGGCTTTTCTAACAAGAGGGATTCATAATCTGAAGGCAGAGAAACGTTCAGGAAGCGAGGGAAGGTTCTTCGCAAGAACACATGGAGTGGAGTGTGAAGGAGGATGCCACGCGGGCAGGTACCCAAATGTGCTGATGCGAGAAGCAGACGCACGGCCCACTGTGGACCTGCCCCGGGGGCCCTGGAGACGGGCTCAGCGGCACGGCGATCGACCGTGGGTTCGTCCCCTCTCACACAACTGCTGCTGAGTTAGACTCCCTAGTGACACGGAATTCAGCCCACACAGGTGCATCCTTGCGCACGTGGTCCCCAAGTCACTCTGTGATCCTTTGTGCCTGTGATGTTACAAAACACCTGCTTGGTCTCGGTCCCGGGCTCCTGGCGCAGAGCTGCTAAGCTCCTTGGAATTTCTTGAGCAACTGGAGCCTCTTTTATTTTCGTAATAAGCCCCTGTCAACCACACCGGGGTTTCTGCTAATCAAGTGACTACCTGGGTCCTTAGCTGTCACTGGGATGAGGGCGGGCTTCCAGAAAGACCAAGGTGCGGCTGGGGGGAAGGGAGCTTTCAGACGGAGCCCCAACCTCCAGGGACAAGGATTTAATCCCCAATGGCCACTGATTTAACCAAAGATGCCTGAGTAACGAACCCTAGCAATACCCCTAAACACGGGGTTCTCAGAGCTTCTGAGCTGAGGACCACTCTGACGCGCTGGGACAGGTGTGCCTGAGGGGGCGCACAGTCAGCCCTGCGCCCGCCCCCCCTCAGGCCCTGTCCCTGCTGTTCTGGGGTCTGCAGGGGCGCACAGTCAGCCCTGGGCCCACCCCCCTCAGACCCTCTCCCTGTTCTAGAATCTGCAGGGACGCACAGTCAGCCCCTCCCCCTCCCCAACTCTCTCCCTGTTGTTCTGGGGTCTGCAGAGGCGCACAGGCAGCCCTGGGCCCACCCCCCTCAGACCCTCTCCCTGTTCTAGAATCTGCAGGGACGC